ATTGCAGACTGTTAATGCAGATTCTGAGGTTTCTCTGCTTGAGAAAAAACATAGTCCATCTGAATGCAATTTTATTCCACAACAGACTGATACAACATACACAGGGCAAACCAACATTCCAAAAAGTCCTAAACCCGAGGAGAAATCCGTAGAGGAAAAAGAAAACAATGATCCAATTTCATTGGAGTCCTCCCAACATTCCAGTTTAAACTGCTCCACAGACACCAACCACAATGGTGCTCAAGAAGGCCCTGTGTTACGGAGAAAGCGTACATCAGATGGGGAAGCTACTGGGGACACGCCCTTGTCATCTAAAATTGAACGACCTTCTTTGGTTTCAAAGCATTCATTCAGGTCCAGACCAGGAAGACCTCAAAGCCTAATTCTTTTCAGCCCACCATTTCCAATCATGGACCATCCTTCTCCAGCTGACTCAAGAATCCTACTAACTCCCATAAAAAGTCATTCTCAAACATCTTCTCAAGAGTCTACAAATGAAGCTCAGAGGACACCTGATGGGGTCATACTCAGGAACAAACTGACAATCCCAAAAAATGGTCAACGTCTCGAGACTTCCACAAGTTGTTTCTACCAGCCACAGAGGAGATCTGTTATTCTCGACAGTCGAAGTGGAAGACAAATTGAATAGTTGCTGTAAGCAAACTTGTGCTTTTACAAGTACCAGAATTATGGCAACATGTTTTATGTATTTTGCCAAAGATTATATTATTTTGTTTCCTATGTTATATTTTTTATATTCACTTAATTTCTCCTCTTTATGATTGGATATGTTTCGTTCCATATCATAAAATAATTTTAAGTGTTTAATTTAAGTATAAGCAGAACACTTCTCATAAATGTTCTTTTTTTTTTATGGATTCTTACAGACATCTTCGTAAGGTTTGGTGAGTTTATTTCTTGATTAAGTGCTCTGCGACGACTGTACAGATTCTTTTTCTAAAATATGCAGAATGACATATAGCTGCAGTGCAGTTCATATAATATACATACAACTAACTCCAAGGCAATTAATGACAATCAATGGCATGCTATTATATAAGATAGAATGATACAAACATTTTGCTTTAATTATTAAAGGGAAACTGTCACTTCTCTGAATATTGCACATATTAATAAAATAAAACGTGAAAATCAGTTATTACTTGTGTTAACCTTTTTTTCCATCTCATGTTACCTTTTCTTGAATCTATATTAAAGGTTTAGCAACGGACGCCACATTTCAGTTAAGTCCTGGCAGAGTCATGGCACATATTGCTGTGTATCTCAAGCTATAATTTGAAGGCAGACCTTATAAAAATGATTAACAGGGAGCCAACATGAAGGCATTTGATTCTGGAATATAGCTGTGTGGCAATCTCTATCTAATTTTCAGACCTCACAAATACTTGTTTCTAAAACATAGGAAGTAAGTGAACTTTAAAAAGTCGTGTGAAGTGTCAGTTTCCCTTTAATAGTGGCTGCTAGCGCATTTGGGCCTTTGTTTTGAAGCGTGAACTTAAAACCCAAAAATCTATAGCACTTTTCAACATATGTAAAGTATATTTGCTATTTTTTTCTTTTAAAATATTTGCAATCTTATTTGTCAACAGCAAGAGATTTAAAAGGAGCAGGTATCGTGATACTTCTTCCAAGTAAAACATGTGGCAAGATAACCATTTTAGTTTATATTAGATGCATATTAGAGAAAAATATTTAACGATTATTTGCTTTTATGATTATTTGGCTTGCCCTAAAATTGCTCAGTTTAAAGAAATATTAGTGCTTGAAACTTTGAAGCTGAACCAGGGAATTACATAATTTAAACTACTGTAAATGTTGTCTTAAATTATCGGAGCTCCAAAATAACAATTCTATATTTGTTTAGTGCTCTAGTCACTCTCTCAGTGTAGATTTATTCCCTAGACAGTAAGCCAGAACTTAAAGGGTTACTCCAAGTACCATAACAACTTCAGTGATTTGAACCAGTCGTGGAGTATGTATGTGAAATGCTGCATATACGGAGTTTAACCGCTTTGCTGTATCATTGGGGTAGCAAGAGTTGCATGTAAACTAATGTCGAATCTGTGCATAATTCTATGCAGAGCGTTGCATTCATTGGCCAAGAGAGGTCATCTGGCGCTGTCAACCAATTAATGACCGGTGGTAGCCATATAGAACCCTTGGCGTCTGGCAGGGACCTAGAGAACAGGGCGTTATCTGTTTTTAGAGCATTGAAAAACTACTTGCCCTATTACCAGCAAATGGGACCAGAGTTCTCCTGGCATCAGACCAGTACAGCGGGCTGTAGTGGTTATGATAGTTGGTGAAACCCTTTCATTTTAAAATTGGAGATTTTCTTTTTCTTTTTTTTTTGACAATCTTTCTTTTCAAAAGTTGGTCAATTTCAACAATAAGAGAGATACTTTCTATGTCTGCCATTTTTATTTCTATTTTGTAACTAATTTCGCAACCCCATTTGAAAACATTGATATTCCCTTAAGAACGTCCATACATAAAATGCTCCTTTAATATTAAGTTAGTGGAACTACCAAATCGGTGCTATACGGAGCAAAGTGCAAATAGGATATTAACAGTAGTTCATAAGCAAAATGGTTCTTATGTGTTACCTGTTTTCTAATAGACCAGTTCATTTTATTCTTAAAATATTGTTCTGCGGTTCTATAACAACATGTAGAATGACTGTATAATATTCGCACAGGTTTATTGATGACTATACTGTTTGTGTGTTTTGTAACTGTGTGTAAAAATAGCTAAGCAGTGTTCCTGAAACAAATTTGTACAATAATATAAATATGGAAAAAGTATATATAAATATAAATATATATTAGAAGGCAGGCAGTGTAACTGGACGCAGAATTGTGCCAAAAAAAAAAAGAGGTGCTTATGTTGTCTTTAAAATGTATCACTTTTTAATAAAACTGGAAAATCTCTAAATGAAGTGTTGAATCTTTTTAACTTTTTGTGATCGCTGGTATATGAGCCATTTCATAGTTTAGTAAAAAGAGTCCGTATATTATACATCAGCCATTATACGTGCACACAGCACATTGCACCCAAAGTTTTCTTTTAATTTTTTTTTTAAATAGTGTGAATATTTATTTGTTTCTTAGTCCTAAACAACAGTTATATTTATTCAATTAAACACAGTCATCCTTCCTTATTAAGAGTAACATTTTTTTTAAACTTAACAGGATAGATTTTTGAAAAATCAAAAACAAATTAGTTTTATGTGATAATGCAATCCAATTTTATGGTCTTTATATCCAAACATAACGACAAACCAAAATGTATGCAAAAATGCAGAATACTAAAAGGTCAGATTTAACGTGTTCCTGGGCACATCTTGCATATACCTATGATATCGCGGTGTTGTATACACGATTAAAGGGGTGTTCAGCAGCACTGGATTGTTTGCTTTTTTTTGCATTATAATGCTTTTTCTTAGTTCAATTGATCCAATTGATTTAAATGTCAATGCTAAGAATAATTTTATAGGAAACTTAAAATACATTTTATATGATAACTTAAAGGGACACTCCAGGCACTCAGACCACTTCTGCCTATTGGAGTGGTCTGCGTGCCAACTCCCACTACCCTTAACACTGCAAGTGTAATTATTGCATTTTTTTATAAACTGTAATACTTGCCTTGCAGGGTTAAGTCCTCCTCTAGTGGCTGTCTATCAGACAGTTGGCGGGGGAGGAGTGTGGGCGGGGCCTGACCCAGCGCCAAGGGACATCGGCGCTGGATTTAGGTCAGTTGCATGGGATGTGGGGTGGGAGGGAGAGGGGCACTGCAGGAGTCCCTTTAAAATAAATGTATTATTTCCTGAATCATTGTTACCTTATAATTATTTTCATTTTCACATGTAAGTGCAGTCTAAATTATACTACAATATGTTTCGATCACATTTTATCATAAATTGATTGCGTTTAGAATTCCTTATTTCTTTCACACTGATAAGAAATACTTTAAAAAATGTATTCCACAAGTTTTTTTTTTTTTTTTTTGTAAATCTTTGGCAGCTGCAGATTTTGAGGGAAAACTAATTATTGAGATTAAAATAATTCAGTTTCTTTTTATCGGAAGTTCAGAATTGTGTGTATCACAGAACTTTAGAGTAACAGCATGTAATAGTAACTGTAGCACCCATAAAGCATGTGCATCCCATACAAATATTTTGTAAGGACCGAATAGTATAGTGCCCACCTCTGATGATCGGAAGAATAAGAGACAGGCTTATAACTGCTGGAATTATGAAAATCCATACAGTTAGAAATAAGTGTGTGTAGGTAAACAAACATAGGAGATCTCCTTGCACCACGCTATGCAGTGGTGTCCCTTTAAATGTACTGCCCAACACATAGCATATCATGAGGGTCGTATTTACACTCCAGCGGTTGCAGATTTAGAACAGGTGAGGGAGAGTCTCCCTCTATTTGAGCAGGCTGTCACAGGTAAATCTCCCGTCAGCCACAGCCATACAGCAGGAAAATGGACTGGCAGTGAGCAAGATCTTTAATCTCCCCACTGGCCATTCCGCCGCTCTCCTGCCTGCCATGGCATCGGTGGCAAAACCAGTCCTGCATTTACCTGTTAATGCCAGGTCTGCTGTAACTTATAAATACCTAGAATTTTTACTGAAATCCTAATCTTAGGGAAGTGAAAACCAAAATCTTCATGTAGCTGGTACCTAGCCAATATTATCCAAATACAGGATTGGCACAAGCTGCCTGAAGACTATGGATGTTGTGCAGCAAATGCTCTTTGATATTTTATAAATGTAAGGATTGTGCCATGCTTATTTATTGCCACTAGGTGGCATTGCTTTAAAATAGTTGCAAATGTACATTCACAAACTATTTATGGATACTTTATAAAGAGTGTGTTGTTTTTGTGTCCTTTAGTGGCTAAGGCCATAAAATAACAAATGCATAATTCCAGAAACACTAAAACCCAAATAACTGGAAAAGAAAGATATGACACCAGTAAAGTGAGTGGGTTGCACTCTTTAAGTGCTGGAATAGTGAATAAGGTACCACCTGCCCTTGCAGGTTAAATTGCTGAATTATGGAACTGAGGCTTTAATGGTTCCATTTGTGAGCGGTTTGACAAAATCCTTGACTCTACAGCACCTACAGCCTGACCCGCCTGCTACCGCTCTACAGCACCTACAGCCTGACCCGCCTGCTACCACTCTATAGCACCTACAGCCTGACCCGCCTGCTACCGCTCTACAGCACCTACAGCCTGACCCGCCTGCTGCCGCTCTACAGCACCTACAGCCTGACCCACCTGCTGCCGCTCTACAGCACCTACAGCCTGACCCGCCTGCTACCGCTCTACAGCACCTACAGTCTGACCCGTCTGCTGCCGCTCTACAGCACCTACAGTCTGACCCGTCTTCTGCCGCTTTACAGCACCTACAGTCTGACCCGTCTGCTGCCGCTCTACAGCACCTACAGTCTTACCCGTCTGCTTGCGGCTCTACCTACAGCCTGACCGCTGCGACTCTAGCCCTGACCGCCTGCTGCTCTACAGCACCTACAGCCTGACCGCCTGCGACCTCTACAGCCCTGACCCGCCTGCTGCTCTGCAGCACCCCACAGCCTGACCGCCGCTACGATCTCCAGCACTACAGTCTGACCCGCCTGCTCTGCGGCTCTACAGCACCTACAGCCTGACCAGCCTGCCGGCTCTACAGCACCAACAGCCTGACCGCCTGCTGCGGCTCACAGCACCTACAGCCTGACCCGCCTGCTGCTGCTCTACAGCACCTACAGCCTGACCCGCCTGCGACCGCTCTACAGCCTGACCCGCCTGCTGCTGCTCTACAGCACCTACAGCCTGACCCGCCTGCGACCGCTCTACAGCCTGACCCGCCTGCTGCTGCTCTACAGCACTTACAGCCTGACCCGCCTGCTACCGATCTCCAGCACCTACAGTCTGACCGGCATGCTACCGCTCTACAGCACCTACAGCCTGACCCGCCTGCTACCGCTCTACAGCACCTGCAGCCTGACCCGTCTGCTGCCACTCTACAGCCTGAACGGTCTGCTGCCGCTCTACAGCACCTACAGCCTGACCGGTCTGCTGCCGCTCTACAGCACCTACAGTCTGACCCGTCTGCTACCGCTCTACAGCACCTACAGCCTGACCCGTCTGCTACCGCTCTACAGCACCTACAGCCTGACCCGCCTGTTACCGCTCTACAGCACCTACAGCCTGACCCGTCTGCTGCCGCTCTACAGCACCTACAGCCTGACCCGCCTGCTGCTGCTCTACAGCACCTACAGCCTGACCCGCCTGCGACCGCTCTACAGCCTGACCCGCCTGCTGCTGCTCTACAGCACCTACAGCCTGACCCGCCTGCGACCGCTCTACAGCCTGACCCGCCTGCTGCTGCTCTACAGCACTTACAGCCTGACCCGCCTGCTACCGATCTCCAGCACCTACAGTCTGACCGGCATGCTACCGCTCTACAGCACCTACAGCCTGACCCGCCTGCTACCGCTCTACAGCACCTGCAGCCTGACCCGTCTGCTGCCACTCTACAGCCTGAACGGTCTGCTGCCGCTCTACAGCACCTACAGCCTGACCCGCCTGCTGCTGCTCTACAGCACCTACAGCCTGACCCGCCTGCGACCGCTCTACAGCCTGACCCGCCTGCTGCTGCTCTACAGCACTTACAGCCTGACCCGCCTGCTACCTATCTCCAACACCTACAGTCTGACCGGCATGCTACCGCTCTACAGCACCTACAGCCTGACCCGCCTGCTACCGCTCTTCAGCACCTGCAGCGTGACCCGTCTGCTGCCACTCTACAGCCTGAACGGTCTGCTGCCGCTCTACAGCTCCTACAGCCTGACCGGTCTGCTGCCGCTCTACAGCACCTACAGCCTGACCGGTCTGCTGCCGCTCTACAGCACCTACAGCCTGACCTGTCTGCTGCCACTCTACAGCACCTACAGTCTGACCCACCTGCTACCGCTCTACAGCACCTACAGCCTGACCCGTAAGCTGCCACTCTACAGCACCTACAGCGTGACCTGTCTGCTGCCGCTCTACAGCACCTACAGCCTGACCCGTCTGCTGCCGCTCTACAGCACCTACAGCCTGACCGGCCTGCTGCCGCTCTACAGCACCTACAGTCTGACCCGTCTGCTGCCACTCTACAGCACCTACAGTCTGACCCGTCTGCTGCCACTCTACAGCACCTACAGTCTGACCCGTCTGCTACCGCTCTACAGCACCTACAGCCTGACCCGTCTGCTGCCGCTCTACAGCACCTACAGCCTGACCCGTCTCCTACTGCTCTACAGCACCTACAGCCTGACCCGTCTGCTGACACTCTACAGCGCCTATTGGACAGCAGTGATACAATATATATTGTTCACGAACACTGGATGTTCCATTGCTTCCTTGCTATGTTACCAAATACGGAAATATGGTTGCAGAAAACATCTAGTCTCAACAATGGCGTCCAGTTCTGCTGCTTTCATTTCATTTCAGTTATACAGGTTGAACAGGTTTAAAACAAGGTCTCGTATTTATCATAGCCTTTCCCCTCCCCTCCCCTCCCCTCACGCACAATCTAACAAAAGTATTTGTTTGTTGGTTTGCCATGCAAACAAGCTAGGGCCTACAGTAAGGCAGTTGTCTGGCATGTGCCCTAAGGAAGCCGCCATAAGAACATTATGCTGTCATTCCAAATATGATAACACGTCAGGCGTGGAGGAGGTCACAGTGATTAATGAGGGTAGTTTAACAGAAAGCAGCTTGTGTATTAAATTAAAGGATACATTTGTCTCCATGACCAGTTTCAGGGTTCCGTGGGCATGTGCTGCTGTATTAAAAGAGAACAATCCTCCATGTGAGAACTTTCCATTACCCAAACATCTGCAGTATCTTCTTGTAACTGGATGCAGGACATTGGATGTTACTGTTTGGAAGCGCTAAGATACTTGGCCAAGCTACACAACCTCAGCAGCACCACTGTTTGCCATTATAGCTCTAGACCAGGGGTGCCCAAAAGGTAGATCCATAGATGTTGTAGAACTATAACTTCCATGATGTTTTGCATGCCTTTAGAATGGCAAAGCATTTTAGAAGTTATAGTTTTAAAAAACCTGGTGATCTACATTTCGGGCACCCCTGCTCTAGACATTGTTTTCCCTGAGCAGTTCTTTGCTAGGAAAAGTGTTACACATGATATTTGTAGCTATTGTATATCCACTTGTTAATCAGCTTAGAGATACTCAGAGGTCCTTAACAAGCTAGGAACCTATGACAGATCTCCTTTAACCTTTTAACTGTGGTCTTACCCTGGCATTTGGTCTCTTAACGCTGTCCTGTTCAATGGGACACCCAAAGAACCATTGCAATCTATATTTGTTGTACAGTTTAGGACACAAGATGGTCCCTTGCCTAGGCGGCCCCATTGATTAGATTTAACGTTTTGCTGAAAAGGGATTTACGGGATAAGAGCAGACCCCCATAAAGCAGTATGAGAGGCTCCTGATTGCTGTAGTCGCTTCCTGGTTTTGAAGGACTCACAGCTGCAGCTTGTCCGTAGCGGCAGGAACTGCAATAATGAAGGTCTGTTTTCCATTTTTTAAAATTGAATTATCTCAAAGCAGCATTTTTAAAATGCGGATTACGTTCACCATGAAGTTTCTCATTTATTAGCATTTTAAAATAGGTTTGTTTTTTTTTTACTAGCTCTGCTAGTGCCAATAGAGAGATTTTGATATGGGACCTTTAACCCCTTAAGGACCAAAACTTCTGGAATAAAAGGGAATCATGACATGTCACACATGCCATGTGTCCTTAAGGGATTAAAGACAAGAAGGGGATGATGGAATTCTACCATCAATGGATATTAAGAGGTGAAGCTGGCCTGTCATACCCCTGGTAGAATTCTACAAATGTAAGTCAATGGATTATCGCTGGGGCCAGGGAGGAGAAACCAATAACATGTTAATAGCATGATAGAAGCGTGGTCAAGATACACAGGACATCAACTGCGAGGCTAGGTGGGCATAAAGCACCCCCAGTCTCAGGGATCATTGCTTTCTTCTAACACAAATGGGAAATGGCCATCTCCGCAATGATGTACGTTAATAGAATAGGGCCAGTTAACCTGTTACTTCCATCACTGAGAATTCTGGATGTAGGAGAACATCCTTCGGTGGATAGTGAGGTCCCTTGACATACCTCTTCCAACATTCGAGGTCAGTTTATTGTCTCCCTTGCTTTTGAAGCCATCTAACTTTATGTAAATACCACACGTTCATGCAGCACTATAGACTTCTTGAGATATCGTAATGGATGTACAAAGCTTTGTATACTTTATTCGATAAACAGTGACAATCCAGTATGCCACATCGAAAGATACACACTTACCGAACCAAAATCTACAAGCACCCATTGCTCTTCTAAAACGTGCAGCTTTAATGCCAAGTTTAACCAGGCTATGAAGACCGAAAAATGTTTTGGTATATATGATGCAATTCAGCGATTTGAAATATTCAAAAACCGCAAACAACAAACTAGTGATTTTATGTGTCTCAGTGGCACATAATCAATTACACTAAGCCACGTTACTGCTGCCAAAAAGGTATAAAATATCTAGAGGGATGAGCAATTGTATCCAAAGATCAGACAATTTTAATTCGTCCAGGTTACCTTGGAGTAGACGTCTGCCCTTTCCTTATATTGATCACAATATTAGTTGGAAACACTCTAAAAAGGGGTAGAATGAAGTAAATGTGCAACCAACCCAAACAGTTCTTGACCTCTTGCCCTGGTGCATTCACAGGTACTATTATTATATACAAGCTTTATAAATGGTCCTTAAATCAGAAATGAAACATTGCTCCACCATCTGAATTGCACTCTGTAATACATCCACCGTACTTCTGTTCCACCAACACTGTATGTCCATTTAAAATACACTGAATGAAAGACTGTTCAAGAGATTGATAGTGGTGTATACTGTAAACAGTTTCATTTCATTGACAAATATATTATACTTTCTACATGTCACCAGATGTGTCCAGATGCCAGGGAGAAGATGACAAGCACTTCAATTAGTTAACAGCTAAAAACCTGCTAAACATGCATTCATTACAAGTCAGCAGTGAAAATGATTTTTATTTACAAAAATATGATTAATACTAGGTCAGGCACTGTAACACAACACACCTCCATTTTAGGCTAAGTGGTGGAGCCAAGTACACTTTGATCCGCACAGGTTTAGAAAGACCCAAAAGTGATTTATTTAACTCATGAAGGGCATAATCTCATGCAGCTCACTGGTAAAGAAAGAAATGAACGCAGACCAGTTGTGGGTATCATGTTGACCTGTTAGTGTACGAATGTGTATTTTTTTTTTTTTTTAAAGATGTGCAAATATGTTTTTTAATTAATGATCACCAATCATATATTTTGTAAATGTGCTGAAAAGAAGATGAAAGGTAATATTTGTGGGTCATCAATAAATCATTCAAAATCTTGCTTGGATCACATTCAAGGGTCACGTAAAACATAGTTCCTAGGAAAATGTCAAAGATACTTGCTTAAAAAGTAATGTGTTAATGTAAGCGCTATTTTTATGTAACACTATCAAAGATGGTGTAGATGTGTAGAAAGGTAATAAACCAAACTGCAATATTTTTTTTGCCAAGAACACTTAAACACATTAATTGTTTATACTTTAATCCGCAAATTAAAAAAAAAAAAAAAAAGTTTAGAATAAATCAAATAAAAATGGAAATGGCAAAAATGTGACAATATACAGTTAAAACACATGAACATAGAGTTAGGATGATGAAGAAAAAAAAAAAAAAAAAAACTGGCTCATTCTCCATCAGTCCTGATTGGGAGAAACATACGAACCAAGTTGCCAAATTATATTTCTAGACTGCGCTGAATCTTGTAATATTGAGTAAGCACTAGAGTTAGGAAGACATCGAGGTAAGATAGTAGTACAGGTGGGACATCTGTCGGTTACATGCTTCACCCCTCCCACCCAGAGAGGTCCATACAAGAATATTTCATAGTTCCAGTAAATCAAGTTTGGAAAGGTGTTACGTTAGTCTTATTTTTACCAGTCCACACTGCAGACCTTCATTAAAAGAGCGATGGTGACAATTTTCATTAATATTCAATACGTGTCCAATAGAACATTGTTCCGAGGAGAAACCAGAACTGAAAGACAAAATTTAAAAACACTCAGGACCAATAAAGCACATTAGCTTGCTGCAGGGTGTCTTTTTTCCCCCATTTTACAAAAATTGCAGATTCCAATAGAAATTATCACTTTTAAATTAACCTTGTTACATCCCCTAGCTGTCAGACAACCAGTCCTGTTACGGTTAGCTCAGTAGAGCTAAATGCTAGACACAGCAATTACCCAGAGCACCTGCCTTGCAAAGACTTCTCATTGACCTCATTGTGAAGTTGGACACGGTTGGGCAGTTACAGAAAGCCTGGGCTGGGCGGCGTGCAAAGATATCTGCAAAGTTAGCAAGCGTTTTGTTTTTTACATATACCCCAATAAAAATTTTTTTAAAAAATGCATGTTTTTGTTGTGGAATATCTACTAGTGATTTTTGGGGGGCATGAGTGCCCCTTTAAAAAACACCCTGGGGCGATGAATGTTGACACATTTTTAGCTAAATGATGGATTCTCATCTCACTCCAACTGTGTAGTATTTTTTATGTTTTACAGATATTCCAGTTTGAATAAAATAGAATACTCTCCAATTCCTGAACTATTGATATTTCATATACTATATTATCTGTGCATGTGTACGGTACACTTTGGGTGTTTTCATGAGTGAGAAGTGGCTGAACTATAGACAAACAACTTCAACTAAAGTCTCAAAAACTGGAATAAATACAAAATGTAACATGTAACTCTGTATACTTACCGTCCAGCACAAAATGGCAAATCCAAACCAGGCAACTCCCCAGGCGTGGCGGTTGAGTGGCCCACCAATATAATCATAACAGCCCTGTCGGAGAGAAAAATTGTATGAGCGAAAATTCCAGAAATGGTTTCCATTCAATGACCTCAGTGTTCAATACATCAAGTATAAGCAATCAAAGTCTCTAGGCAAAACCAACCACATTGTTTGCATACAGGAATGTTTGAATGGGACGTGCGGAGGCAGAGGTTTATCGTTAGTACTTAAAATGTTTCAGCCAGGAAAGTGAAGGCAAATTAAAGCGATAGTTTGAGCACTATAAGAACTTCTCTGTTATTAAGCTGTTATGGAGTGAGGTGGTCCCAAGCGTCGGCTGGTGTTCTCAGCCTATCAGTCGTTCTCCATTGAGAAATGTGTGAGATATGTACCTTTTTTCCCCACTCACTTTCCTCAATGGGGAGCTACTGATCTGGACACACCCAGTGGTGCCCAATCCGAGGTTTCTTGTTTGAAGTCTCTGATATTGAATGGAAGAGCAGAGGTACAGCAAACTAAGCAACGTACGTTCGTATACAAGTAATTTGGCACTCCGACACGACATCCCAGCAGATTGGAGGGCTGCCCAAGGCCATCCATCACACAGCACTGCTGGGGCCAAGGGAAAGCAGAGTCAGAGTTAAAAGTGCGGAAAGCAGAGGTGTAGGCCTGCCAGTCTGAAGGACCATTCACACCACAGCATTTGTTCTGTGGAAATAAAAGGATATTGTTAGACATGTAAAAAAAAAAAAAATACACACAGTAAGAGGTGGAAATGCAATAACAAACCTAAAAAGTATCAGATAGTAGAGACGTACCGGATACCAAACTCATCAAATAACCCATGTGCTCTGAAGCCAGGGCTGGCAAGGCTTCCCTTCCAAGATATGCAGAATAAATAACGGTTCAGGCACTCTGGGATAACGGAAATAGCAACTTTATTGAGGTAAAAACAGCAACGTTTCGACCCTACTGGGTCTTTATCAAGCTCATGATAACGACCCAGTAGGGTCGAAACGTTGCTGCTTTTGCTCTAATAAAGTGGATATTTCTGTTATCCCAGAGTGCCTGAACCGTTATTTATTCTGCAAACCGTAGACGGTATTAACACAAGTCAAGCAATTTAAAACCAAAATAAATTAAATTAAAAAAATAAATAAAAGTTAAGGTAAAATTAATTAAATTTAGGGAACAAACACACACCACTCCTATTTTTATAGATATGCTATTTTAGTTTAAATTACTTTTTCCAATTCTCTACAATTTTAGTGAAAAGCAAAACAAAAATGAACTTTAGGAAAAGCACACTGAGTGCACTACAAGTCATTTTCAATTCACTCTGTATAGTACATAAACCCTGATTTACATAATAAATACATGAAACTTGCCAGCAGCATGATTCTATTCCAAACGCTGGTTACCCCCTGGATTTTTATGAGTGCGTCATTGTCGATATAGTTTTGGCTTTGGTAGGATTCCAACATCTGCTTCAGGAACAAGTCGGGAATAAACTGGAAACAAAATAAAATAAAAATGGTTAAAAATAAAGCTAGGCCTATATATTGTGTTAATAGCATTTTAATATTAAAATAGAGAGTTCTGAGCAGAGAATTTAACAGGGAAAGTCTTAGGAGTGCACATGGTTCCAAGAATGGCCAGATGACGAACATATAAATCTGTGGAATGAATGTGAATTGACCCATGAATTTTAGGTCTAATAATTGCAGGTCTCTTGTTTATTGCCCCCAATTGACAGATTTGTTTAGGAACCTCATATGGGTTCATTGTAATAAAGTTACTTTAGAGAAAGCCCATCGTATCTGATCGTCTCGGCCAGGACAGCTAAATGGTTTCTCCATGCAGATTGCAGAACTTGCTACTTGAGGGTTTTGCTTAGAAATGTGCCTAATAAACAAGATAAGGTACATCCCATGAGTTATATTTCTGGTGAGGGAAGACTGTTTTACTGGAGAACAGTTTTTTTTAGATAAGAGGGAGTTATGTACTTACAAAGTCTCTCTGCGTGGCGGCGGTTATGGCAGAAGCTGCTTCAAAGCAATAGACTATGAACATCAAGATGAGATACTGAAAGAAGAGGGAACATAAGCTTAGAAACTACACATCTTTCTCAGCGGATATAGGAATTATTCCATATTGGGTTACAGACGTTTGTGGGACGTTTCTGCAACAACATTAGCAGGAAAAGAACTCTCAGAGTTAGAAGAACATTTGCATCATGTCGAAGTTAATGGATATAAATTGTGCGTCAGACAGAATGTCACGATTTCAGCAAGACTGAGCATTCACAGGTTTCTGAACATTAGAAAAGATATAGATGGTCTCTAAACAATGCTCAAAGGAGATAAAATGAGTAGATGGACAAGTTTTTCCAGAACACCAGATGCCATTCAGAATGCAAGGTGTCAATGCACAGCCGTGTCTTCTATGGAATTCAACAGCTTGCCTCCAATGCAGCAGATATAACCCATTGTGGGGTGACTATATCTGCTCCTGACAGAGTGGAAGAGTACATTTGACAAGACTACCTTACCCCCTTTGCCATTTATTGTGAACACCCATGTTAATTTAAACACTAAACTCCCAAGAAGGACCTTTCATCTGTTAGAGCAATGGTTCCCAAACCAGTCCTAATGGCAACCCTACCAGTCCAGGATTTAGTGATTTTGAAGTGGTATCTAAGGTGGCTTTTTGGTTTGTTTTTCTAAAAAACAAACAAAAAAAAACCAACACCTTGGACATTAGGTAATCCCTATATTCTGTACAGGTAAGGGTGTTTTGAGACTGGTGTTAGGTGTTAAGAGTGTGTCTACTGCCTCAAACTATCTGGGATGTTATATATACGATCTCTGATCAGCCTCTGGTTTCCAGACTGCTGGGAACACTGGATAATAGCTTCTGTGAGATACAGACTAGATACCCCTAACGAAGCCCTCTACTGACAGACTTACAGCCATAAGCAACCGCCGGTTGGATTTCATAAGTCCAATGATTCCCATGATCGACAACAGAAAGAAGCTGAAACCGGTAAAAATCCCGATCCAAGCGGCTGCAAAGATGTCGTCATTGTACGTAGCTTCCAGGAGGGGATAAAGGCCATTTTGATCAGACACAAAGAATATGCACTCTGCAGTCAGCGCAATGCCACACAGCTGCGAAACAACAAAATAATAATAAATATAAAAGAGTTATTATCCACATGCTAGAATCCTACAGGAATTAATATGGGTAGATTGATAATTCTGCAGAAAGATAAAACAATGAATACGGAGACGATTAGCCTGCGTGAGGCATGGGATGCTTGTTGGATCGCTCTGTACGTTATTTTGATCAGTAAGTAGTACTCCTTGTATTAGCATAATCATTGATACACTGCTAACTTCAAAATAGTATTTTCTCCCCACAACCTTTCATCTCTATGCTCATTTCCTCTCTAGATTGTAAGCTCACTGGGAGGATTCTCTTCGCCTTTTGTTGAAATGCATCTAATTATCCCCTGCTTGAAATTTTGAATAAATTGTAAAGCAGCCTGGATAAAATCATTATATAAGAACTGTTGAATAAATTGAAGATGCCAGCTCATCAAAGTCTTATTCCATTCCAAACTCCAGAACCAATTAACCAACTAATTGTCACAGTGCAGAGATTCTACCATGCATGCATTTTGTGTTATACCACTTGGCCTTCCATGATGGCCTATGAGCACTGGGCTACCTTGGCTCCAGCGTGCACTGCTCCACATCACTGTCCAAATTTATACAGGTAAAATGGATGTCTTATTTAGTACAGGACCTGGGCTTTAGGCGTTTTAGAGAGCTCACGCATTACTCAAATCAGCATTTTTTTCAAAATCTTACCCCAATTATCACGTTGCCAAAAATGAGGAAGCCTTGAAAACAACGGACACCCGAACTGCCGGTCGCCATTTTCTTATATCACTTAGAGGCCTGAAAAAAAAAAAAAAACACTTTGTAATATTTTACAGAGAGGATCAACTACATTCAAACCAGAGTTTGAACTGAAAAACTTGTGTTGCTGCTTAAATGCCGTATTAGATAGTGATGTTCCTTTTAACCCAGGTTTGATGAGGAGTTCTGAGACGGTGCAGGACTGACTATGTTCACTTTAATTGGGGCGCATTGCTTACCATTAATTACTGGTTATTTGGCGTAATGTCAGATTTTTTTCTTACAAATTAACCAATCTTCTTTGGCTCCTGGTGCTTTACCTACTAGGAGCTGTGTCAGTGCTGTCCTCTCGTGCATATGGTCTGTCCTGGTAGAGCCCCTATAGATTACATCTCAAGCCTAAATCCCACTCAGCACTTGTGATGTCTGTTGGGATCGGACAAACATTTACAGTAAAGCTCTGCCTTGTGTCAACCTCATACTTGCCCATAAGAAAAAGTAACCCCTGCATTGTCTTACAATATCCTTGAATTGCTCAGACGGGACAGAACCACTTTAAAAAGTTAAATGCAGGGCTAAAAAGTCCACTTACAACTAGCCACTGGCAAGTGAAAATTTAGCCCTGGTGGATAGAAATTCACCCCTGGTGAGTGAGCTAGGACCCTCCAGGCTTACGGTGGTGGGTAATCTTTAAGTCCTACCTAGTAGTGTGGGACATGAAATTGTAAGACCTGATAAATGGGTAACTTTGTAATTTAAATCAACGTCAAGGTGTACCTTAAAACAAGACAGACATACTATATTCTTCCTGGCAACAGAACGTTTAATAAATAAAGCTTACATTTTCAGTAAAACAAAATTCACGTTTTACTAAAAAAGTTAAGGTTTTAAAAGAATATGTGGCTAATAAACTGGTATACAATATAGATTTTTTTGCATAGGGCAACATTGGCAAGTCACCCTTTGAAAAGCTAACTCCTCTGCGTCTATCAATTTGTTGTAGACGATATATGTGACCGCGAATGTTGATGTAACAAATGCGTTGGCCGATTGATATTTGTTTACTTTACTCACGACATAGTTCTAAGGAATATTTTACAATATTTACTATGATCAAAAACATGATAACTCCATGCCTTTAACAATTAAACTTCCAAGCTTGGTTTGCCAACTCAGCATGAATTCAATGCATTTGTCTCACAGTTTGTTTGGGCAGCAGATAGAGGTCCAGCCACATTTTTTGGGGGTGGTTGATATGGGCACGGCAGCTTTATGATGCTCACATAAGAGATTCATGAGATATCTGCAACAGGTAGAACTACAATAGAAGATTTCGAAGATTCACACAAAGATGTTCTTTGTTAATAAGGTCACAGAGACCCTCAGCTGGTTCCCAGACCAGATAGGTTAGATTCTTTCTATATTTCACATTCCAGAGCAAAAATCACAATGTAGACACAGCCAACACCTTGTCCAACGTTTCAAGTATGTGAAAATCCAAGACAGATCTCTCCACAAATCTAACATAGCAGATCCATGAGATAACGTGACAAAGCTTGACCCCATTTAACCGTAAACAACAAACTTTCCCAACCTGGCAGGCTGTGATGCCACGTTGGCTGAAGGTTTCCAATACAAAACTCTATTTTTGTAGGTAAAAAAACAAAGAGACAAAAAAAAAAAAAAACACACAAGAAAACTTGACCTGTTGTTTATGGGGGGGGTTTCATCTGTTATCCAAAAAAAAAAAAAATATGGATGGCAAACTTTTGGTCATATGGCATTTTAGCTCGTCCAAATGTCAGCAACATAAAAAAATAAATACAAAATATTCATTTTGAAAAAAAAATACAAAAAATAGCCCTATCAAAAGGGCACAAAAAAAAGTAATGCTTAGGCTCAGTTGGTCAATGAGCTGGTTATAGTTCTAGAACAGAGTAAAGGACAGGGTAAACATCATTCCGATTGATTTAGGGGCTTAAACACCTGCTTGCATGCAGTGATAAAATCCCATCTGACTGTAAATCCTGGATGGCAAAATGAAGTGAAAATGGGACCCCCATCAGCACCAACAGAGACACTAGATTTTGGGTGAAAGTATTAAAACCCACTGCAGTCACAAACACTGCTCACCAAAAGGCATTCTGCAATCACAAGCAATGAATACAACATTATTACCTGTACATGTTCAAAATGGTTATCTTGTTCTGGGGGAATGGGGTGGGGTGGGGTGGGATTGGATAGGATGGGGGGGAATCGTGAACCGGTGTTATTTCACTAGTTAAGTGAAATATAGAAAAATCAGAACAAATGAAACCGATTCATGCTTTAACGAGGCCACCGGTGCATTATACACATGGTCTATAAAACCCCTTTATGGATATGCAGAGTGTTTGGATCCACGAAGATCTGTGTTTTATGGGTGTGTTTTTTTTTGTTTTTTTTTAAATGTCTGAGAAAGCATTAATATTTATATAATAATAATAATAATAATAATAATAATAATAATAATACCTTTCCCAATTTAGAGTGGGAGATTTCATGATAGATTTTATAAGGAGATATTTTGTTGTGTGAGGGTTTAGACCTGCAGGTCAGTATCACAGTTAGCAGGCCATACACACCCACAGTTATACCCGAATGTGAGAATTCTAAGTTAATTTCTATTGTAAGGCCAGAGTAGCTGAACGGATAGCGCTGCTGATTTTGAGAATGTTTCCAGCTCGGCTATTTTGACCTTAAAAAGGAACACTATAGTGTTAGGAAAACAAACATGGAGGGAGGGGATCCAGCCCACCTCTCTGCAGAGAAATAAGGTATTTTATTGACCTATTGCTGGCCCCAGTTTAAATCAATCTTGTGGATATCAGCCAATCCAATGCTTTCCCATAGAAAAGCCAATGCTGCTGAAATAGGAAGCACCTCTAGTGGCCGTCTGAGTGACTGCAGCTTTTACAGTGCTCCGCCTGCAGGGACAGCATATAGACACCAGAAGCAATACATTAAGCTGCAGTGGTTCTGGTGACTATAGTGGCCCTTTAAATTTCAATTCTCACTTTATGAAATAACCCTGTCAGACTGCAATGCACGTAGCTGGGTAATTCTGTTACAACCAAGGACTACAATGTGATAATACTGATTTACATAATGAAAAGTAAATACCAGACAAGGTTCTAGTATGAGCAGTAAAGGCCAACTTGACAGAATGAGAACTTTAGACCTGGAGCACCTCTCTACAGATTGAATTAAACCAAGTTCCATTCAGGATCACTATATGGGCCTACGGTCCTCTATATACATCTTTACAGGGTATTACATTACAGTAGAGGGAGGTACAGTAAGTGCAGTAGGTATAGAGTGTATATTTTATTTATACAGCGCTAACAGGTGTACTCAGCACTTTACAGGTTACATTACAGTAAAGGGAGGTACAGTAAGTGCAGTAGGTATACAGTGTATGTATATTTTATTTATACAGCACTAACAGGTGTACTCAGTGCTTTGCAATGCACCCATACCAGTCTAGGATTGGGACTGATCAAATAGCCACTTTTAATGAAAAAACTAATTCTAAAATATACGTTAAAATAACCAGGCTATGGAGCTGTGATGACAGCCTATCTGGATAGTTTTTCCATGGGATACTTTGTGAATACATTTGTACATTTACTAATAAACTCACTGAGTTGTAAGATACAATACTGCTTAAAAATAAACGCTGTGATAATGTGTAAACGTTTTTTTTTTTTTTTATTTGCATTACCACTGTTTGAGTCCCCACAAAAAAAACAAAAGGTAGTTATTCTGAAACACCTACATTTGCTGTGCATCTGTTTAGAAAGACATATAAAAACACTCAATTACTCAGCTAGTTTGTTGTGATAAAAAAAAAAACAAAAAAAAAAAAACAACACACTGCAAAATAATAATTAAAAAATCAGATTAACGTCTGGATAGAAAGTTGTAGCGATACAGTTTTATGGAACTGCGAAGTTAGAGAGCCAGTTATACGACTCTATAAAAGGATTAAATGTCTGCATGACATCAGGAACACAGCAGCCAATAGCTATCCTGCAAAACACACAAAGTCAGATCTGGGCAATCTAACACTAGCAATGAATTTCAAAACACTGACAACACATTTCTAGACTCCAATGAGGTTTTGTGTAGCTCTGAAACAGCTTGAGTGCCAAAGCTAGTCCTCACTGTACTAAAATATACTTTCCACCATAGAAGGAGCACATCTTGGATCAATAATCAGATGTCATTGCAGAGGGGGTTTGTAGGTCAGGGTTAGGGGCACCTTCATGATACTACAGACTAGAATTCCAAAGCCACTGTAAACCCCATCTACCCTGAAACCTTCGTAGGAATCATACTTTTCATTATAAGACAGAGCTAGAACCACCAGTCTGTCTAACGCTGCAATGTTATAGCATTGCTATGATCACAACTTTATTGTTGCTTTTGTTAAAGTGACATAGTTGACTGCAAATGTGTCATTGTATCAAATAAGAGAATTACGGTTCACTTGCCAGAATTGAAACTATTTCAAGTCATAGGCTGTGGCCCGGGTCAGATCAGAATGTAGATTTGCTTGTTGCCCCCCCCCTCACATTCTTTTTCTTCTTCAAAAGGAAGGCTTGGGCCAAAGTTAGTCATTTCACAGCTGAATAGAAACAGCCGCACCCCTTACAAGCAGTCTTTTCACTCAGGGTTACTGTGTGACAATATTAAAGTCCAAATCAATACAGTCCCTTTAAGCAGGTCTGTCACTTTTGGGGGTCTTTGTATAATTTCTAAAGACCCCTGAAAGTGACGTCTCTGGTTAGGGTCTCGTGTCCATAGGGTGGAAGGTACACTTATTTAGGATCCTGTGGGAGCCTTCACAGATCACGCCTTTACGATGCGTGAGACCAAGACTGAATCCCAGAACCATTAATGACAGCTAAATGCAAGACAGAGAGCCTGGGCACACATAGCTTCCCAAAAAGTAGAATTTTTTTTGGTTTGTTATAGTTTTAATAGGAACAAGGTCATGTTTTGGCTCACTTACAGAGCCTTTATTTATTACTTGTGATTGGACACAATCTGACGCCACAGCTCTGCCTTTTGTCAGCCTCAGGCTTTACCTTGGCCCCTACTTTGTCTTATGGCATCTTTGGATTAGGCTGGACGTTTAATGAAATCCCAACACGGTCACCATCAGTGTTTCATAAGATACTGAGAAGTTCCTGTAGAAATCCTCTCTTATTAAACACATGATTGTGTAAAACCTCTAAATCCCAAGTCACAATTCCTTAAAAACTCTGCGCCCTAGCACAATGCATTATGGGTACACAGGAGTCCCACAATCCTACCACTGTTCGGGACACTTGAGAAAAAAACCCAAAATAAACACACATAAAAACACACGCTATAAAAAGCTGTACTTTGTGAATACAGGTGGTGACAGCCTATATTTAGTAAGAGACATGAACAGACAGCCACTCCTTGAAGGAAGCCTAGCCTGGAGCGCTATATATTAGCATAGAATCTGCTTCCTTGTGAGATACTCAAAGAAACACAAACAAGAAATAAATTTTTATTGAATAAAGTTTAAAATAACGACCAACGTTTCAGTCCCCGTTCGGGACTTTCTTCAGGGTCAAAAATAATTGTCTCGTTATTTTTGACACTGAAGAAAGTCCCGAACGGGGACTGAAACGTTGGTTGTTATTTTAAACTTTATTCAATAAAAATTTTATTTTTAAAGACCGGAGAGCAGCCATTTCTATTCTGGAATTGTATCATATGGAGCCCTGGTAGATGCACCCGGCAGTGAAGTGGTTAAAGCGAGAGTGCAGGGGATTTTTGCAATATATATATATCTTAAAATCTATGAGGATAGATGGTTGGTGTCTTTCCAGCAGCATATGAATGCTACGTACTACAATGAAGAATGTTTCTGTTCTGCACAGTTAGAAGTGACGTATACACAGAACAGATGGAGGACCAGCAGTGCTATTGCCATTTTATTTTGACAGCTACTCCTTATTCATGTGGATGGTCAGCAGACAAAATGTGTTGCCTTGTAGTACACAGTGTTTTTATTACCCAGGGGATTAATCCTTCAGTTTATCATGGCAGTTCCTTTGTGCAGCATATGAATTCTGCATACCAGCATACTATTCAGTCAACACAAAGAAAAGATAACTCTTCAGTAAGAATAATAATGGCATTTATATAGCGCCAACATACTCTGCAGTGCTTTACAATATTAGAAAGGGGCAGATTTAACAAATTGACAGGATCAATAGTTTGATAAGGACCCTGCTCAAACCAGCTTACAACTGCCACTGTAACCCTGATGGTATAGCCATATCCACAGTAGAATAAAACTCAAATAAGCAGGGAGCAATCAAGTGAACTAATCAGTAAGCCTGCAGCGTGTGAATGCTATATACTGCAGGGAGGCACTCTTCATCAGTACATACAATCGTTAGGTGTTTAATCTGTACTAAGATTTAATCTTTCGTGGCCGGTACACTCCACAGAGGATTAAAAGGACAACCATCACCTTCATACCATTTTAATATAGTAATACTTTTAGCAAGTTTTGAACAGAAATAGATTTTTTTTTTTTTAAATGAATATATGTAAAAAAATTAATTTAAAAAAAAAAACCCTCATCTCCACCTTCAGTATTTGACAGGGTTCTTCAGCCATATACATGCACCTTGGGTCAGACAGTATTTGATTACAGTTAGTCTCTATGGTATTGCTTCACTCCCCGCACAGAAACTGAGAAAACCATAGAGACCAAACTGATCAAACGCTGTCGGACCCAAAGTGCATGTATATGGCTGAAGGATCCTGTCCTATATTAAATGTAGGGTTTTTTTTTTCCATTAAATATGTCAAAAAAAAAATTTTTTTTAAAGTTGTTTTACATTTTATTTTACAATTTGATGAAATACTTATATTAAAAAGGTGGTGACAGTTCCAACTCCCAAAACCACTTCATTTAAATCTTCAACATTCCGGACTAAACACCAGACCCCGGGAATGAGCTATCCAATAAGTATAACATTTTCAACCAGTTGATCAAACCATTAGTAGTGCCATATAAACTACAAATAAATATAATCATTGCTTTCCTTTACTCGTTTCAGGTATCCAACTCACCAAATTCTGCTGATAGTCTCCCTTTGCTAATCATATGCACCTGTCTCTCCTGCTCGCGTTAGCAAGACTTTTAAAGATCTCTATACCTTGACCAACAAAGGCTTGCCATTGGAGGAGATGGATCACATGACCAATACACCTAGCTGAACCTGTTCTAGAATTTGGGTGTAACAATGCATCCTTGCCATTCTTTTAAGTGTAGGAATGTGACTTTAAAAAAAAAAAAAAAAACACCTACATCCACTGTGCATAGAACGAAACAAACAGAAATAATTCTCTGATTCACGAAGGACCCATGCAGCGCTTGGATCACCAGGCAAACGGACAGGAAAGATTTCTCAAAATAAATTAGGAGGAACGATTAATTATTGTGAGCTGTCCATATTTTACGGATTACAGCCCTGACGTCTGCCTTTTTAATAAGGGCCCTTGATTACAACACTGCTTTGGTCAACTTGGCACAGTGATGGCAAATCATGGCATTTAAAATGTGCGTGTACTCCAGCTCCCATCATACTCAGTCAGCCAAAGGTTGGGAAATGGAATTCACGCGCATTGGAAGCACCACAGTTGGCCGTCATTGCCCTAGAGCAGGGGTACTCAACCCCTAGACTACATCATCACTGGTGCTTTGCCAGCATTATGACTGTAAGAGCATTGTGGTAGATGTAGTCTTCAATATCTAGAGTGCCATAGGTGTCCTACCCCTACCCTATCACTAGTGAAGCCAATTTTTTATAACCATAACCACTAAAGTGAGAATTGTTAGGAATTCTAAGTGAATTTTAACTTTATGACCAAAATAGTCAGATTGGAAAAAATTCAGATCACCTTCTTTTGCCTTAAATTTGAAATTCATTTTTAATTCTCACTTAAATGGATAACCCGGAAACATGAAGGGTTCGTCACTAAAGTGCAAACTGTACGAAATTAAAATCCAGATTACGAAATTGGAGCTAAAATTGCCAAGCTCTGACTATGGCAGGGCTGCATAATATTTCCAGGGTTTTTGGCTTTAATTTGTCTATTTGAATTTTATTTTAGTACATTTCAGAGTTTAGTGAATAAACCCCACAGTTATTCATTAAAGTGCGAATTGTTGGAAAATAAAAGGGCATTTAACATTTTAGACCCAAACAAGCCGCCCCTGAAAACACAACTGACTTGGAGAATGTTTCCAATTTGGCTATATTGGCCTTACACTTGCAAAACAGTTTGAATGTACTTTAAGTTGCCAACAGTTCACACTTTAGCGAGTTACCCTGAAACACATTCAGAATTATTCTATAAATCACAAATTGCCAAAAAATGGACACTTTAGGACAAAGTATGTTCTTATAAAATAGACATGTATCCTTCTCAGCTATTCTGAGATTAAATGTTTACAAATATCTCCACTGCCCAAATACAAAAACAAATAAAGTAATAATCACTGTTTAGTAGCTATACCCCAATGAAAACATGAATTCTGTTAATTATGCATTGTTTGTTATTTGGGTTATATCTAAAAACAGTTTGTAAAAGCTGCAGATCTCTTGTGTTCTGCCTTTGGAAGCCATCCCCTTCTAACCCCGCCCAGACTTTCTGCGGCTGTCCAATCACAGACTTCCTAATGCAGTTCAATGGGAAATCTTTGCAAAGCAGATGCTGCCTCTTAAATTAGTTCCACTGAGCTAACCAAACCAGGAAGCCACGGGACCCTTTGTCTGACAGCCAGGGCAGTGTAACAAGGCCCACTGACCATTCATTGGCTGAGAGCATCAGCTGACTGAGATTTGTACAGAGTTGGCACTAGTCAGCCCGAAACTATTGATCCAGATTGGCCAATGACGCCCTAATGACGCTGCTGGAGGGTGAGTTACACATCTAGCAGTAAAGGAGTTAAAGGACCACTATATGCACCCAGACCACATCAGCTCAATAAAGTGGTCTGGGTGTCAGGTCCCTCTAGGGTTAACCCTGCCTGCTGTAAACATAGCAGTTTCAGAGAAACTGCTATGTTTCACTGAGGGTTAATCCAGCCTCTAGTGGCAGTCTCATTGACAGCCGCTAGAGGCGCTTCCGCACTTCTCACTGTGATTTTCATAGTGAGTAGATGCCAGCTGACTGAATGCTCGTGCGGCTCTTGCCGCGTATGCGCATTCAGCCGATGTCGTCCAAAGGAGGAGAGGGAGCCCGGCGCTGGAGAAAGGTGAGTGTTTTTCCCCTTCCTCCCCCTAGAGCCTGGCGGGAGGGGGACCCAGAGGGTGGGGGGACCTATTAATACTATAGTGCCAGGAAAATGAGTTTGTTTTCCTGGCACTATAGTGGTCCTTTAAAGGATGCACATGCAACCTCCAGGTACCATGACCACTTTAAATCACTAAAGTGGTGATGATGCTTGGAGAACCCGGAGTTTGTGTTTAGAAAAAGTACAGAAACATTTACATAAATAACTGAATACTCCAACATTTGTAATTATATAATCCGATACCATAGGGAGACCAAAACCTACATTTAAGTATTGGAAAAACAGGCATCCCGTAAAGCATGTAGCCACCTACCCTCAAGTGACGTATCTATTTACTGAAGATATTTTTAGTGTCCTGCACCATGATATATACTTGCAGACACAAAAGGGAAATATGATTTCTCTATAACTTTGTTAGCTGTTTGTTACAAAAGGGAGACAGGCAGGAGAACATCATTCGGGCACACATACCACAGAATGAGAAACAGAACAGTACAAGCTCTTTATTTTTGGTTTTTGGTTTTGCAATATTGAGGTTTCACATATGTCACATTCCATACAGTCTTCACATTTGAAACTTCTGCTCTTTACTGAGCTACGTGTTACAGAGCTGCCCCTAGCACCAGCAGGGAGGAAGATAAACCAGTTCATCTACGAAATGGAAAAGAAAGATTTATAAATGATAAAACCACTCACATTAAAATTCAGTTTGAGCTCCCTGAGCCAAATTCTGAACACTTGGAAAAAAAAATCACTCCAATAGTGAATTATTTGGATTTTTGGGAGATTTGCACACTGGTACCTGGAGTTCAAAATGTATCTATCACTGATTTCTTTATTGTTCCAAAATTCTATATTTGTTAGCTGTTTGTTACATATATATATGTATATCGTGCTGTATGATATATAGGGTGCTCTATACATGATATATACGGTGCTATATGATATTTATGGTGCTATATGATATATGTGGTGCTGTATGATATACACTGCTCAAAAAAATAAAGGGAACACTTAAACAACACAATGTAACTCCAAGTCAATCACACTTCTGTGAAATCAAACTGTCCACTTAGGAAGCAACACTGAGTGACAATCAGTTTCACATGCTCTTGTGCAAATGGAATAGACAACTGGTGGAAATTATAGGCAATTAGCAAGACACCCCCAATAAAGGAGTGGTTCTGCAGTTGGTGACCACAGACCACTTCTCAGTTCCTATGCTTCCTGGCTGATGTTTTGGTCACTGAATGCTGGCAGTGCTTTCACTCTAGTGGTAGCATGAGACGGAGTCTACAACCCACACAAGTGGCTCAGGTAGTGCAGCTCATCCAGGGTGGCACATCAATGCGAGCTGTGGCAAGAAGGTTTGCTGTGTCTGTCAGCGTAGTGTCCAGAGCATGGAGGCGCTACCAGGAGACAGGCCAGTACACCAGGAGATGTGGAGGAGGCCGTAGGAGGGCAACAACCCAGCAGCAGGACCGCTACCTCTGCCTTTGTGCAAGGAGGAACAGGAGGAGCACTGCCAGAGCCCTGCGAAATGACCTCCAGCAGGCCACAAATGTGCATGTGTCTGCTCAAACAGTCAGAAACAGACTCCATGAGGGTGGTATGAGGGCCAGACGTCCACAGGTGGGGGTTGTGCTTACAGCCCAACACCGTGCAGGACGTTTGGCATTTGCCAGAGAACACCAAGATTGGCAAATTCGCCACTGGCGCCCTGTGCTCTTCCCAGATGAAAGCAGGTTCACACTGAGCACATGTGACAGACATGACAGAGTCTGGAGACGCCGTGGAGAACGTTCTGCTGCCTGCAACATCCTCCAGCATGACCGGTTTGGCAGTGGCTCAGTAATGGTGTGGGGTGGCATTTCTTTGTGGGGGCTGCACAGCCCTCCATGTGCTCGCCAGAGGTAGCCTGACTGCAGGTACCGAGATGAGATCCTCAGACCCCTTGTGAGATTATATGTTGGTGCAGTTGGCCTTGGGTTCCTCCTAATGCAAGACAATACTAGACCTCATGTGGCTGGAGTGTGTCAGCAGTTCCTGCAAGACGAAGGCATTGATGCTATGGACTGGTCCGCCCGTTACTCAGTCCTGAATCCAATTGAGCACATCTGGGACATCATGTCTCGCTCCAGACTGTCCAGGAGTTGGCAGATGCTTTAGTCCAGGTCTGGGAGGAGATCCCTCAGGAGACCATCCGCCACCTCATCAGGAGCATGCACAGGCGTTGTAGGGAGGTCATACAGGCACGTGGAGGCCACACATACTACTGGGCCTCATTTTGATTTGTTTTAAGGACATTACATCAAAGTTGGATCGGCCTGTAGTGTGTTTTTCCCCTTTAATTTTGAGTGTGACTCCAAATCCAGACCTCCATGGGTTGAAAGATTTGATTTCCATTTTTTTATTTTTGTGTGATTTTGTTGTCCGCACATTCAACTATGTAAAGAACAAAGCATTTCAGAAGAATATTAAATTCATTCAGATCTAGGATGTGTTATTTTTGTGTTCCCTTAATTTTTTTTGAGCAGTATACAGGGAGTGCAGAATTATTAGGCAAGTTGTATTTTTGAGGATTAATTTTATTATTGAACAACAACCATGTTCTCAATGAACCCAAAAAACTCATTAATATCAAAGCTGAATATTTTTGGAAGTAGTTTTTAGTTTGTTTTTAGTTTTAGCTATGTTAGGGGGATATCTGTGTGTGCAGGTGACTATTACTGTGCATAATTATTAGGCAACTTAACAAAAAACAAATATATACCCATTTCAATTATTTATTATTACCAGTGAAACCAATATAACATCTCAACATTCACAAATATACATTTCTGACATTCAAAAACAAAACAAAAACAAATC